CAATGACCCCACTGACCCCAACATCCATGATGTCCCCAATGACCCCAATGACCCCAACATCCATGATGTCCCCATTCACCCCAATGACCCCACTGACCCCAACATCCATGATATCCCCATTGACCCCAATGACCCCACTGACCCCAACATCCATGATGTCCCCATTGACCCCACTGACCCCACTGACCCCAACATCCATGATGTCCCCATTGACCCCACTGACCCCAACATCCATGATATCCCCATTGACCCCAATGACCCCACTGACCCCAACATCCATGATGTCCCCAATGACCCCAATGACCCCACTGACCCCAACACCCCCTTTGACCCCGCAGCCCCACTCACGTCCGGCTGCACTCCTTCACTCCATCCCCCAGGTACCCTGGAGGACAGCGGCACCGGAACCCCGACGGCGTCAGCACGCAGCGCGCCATTGGGTGGCAGCCTGGGGGGGCGGGACTTCTGCTGGGGGCGGGGCTTCCAGAGAAGGCGTGGCTTCCATTATAACTGGCACTTCCGGTGGGGGCGTGGCTTTCATTATAAACACCATTCCCAATGGGGGTGGGGCTGGTGTAAGAGGCGCTGCTTTCTGATTGGTTGGAGCTCCCGGAGGGGGCGGGGCTGCAGTCGTGCCGCGGGCACTCGATGAAGGCCCACATGGCGTCACGTGACCCGGGCAGCACCGCCCCACAGTGCGGGAAATCCCAGGGGGAGGAGAAGTCACCGGGAACACAGCTGGGGTCAGAGGTCAAAGGGCAGGGGGTCAAAGGTCAGTGACACGTAGAGCCCCACAGAGCCCCACAGAGACCCCATAGAGACCCATAGGGACCCAAAAGACCCATAGAGGCCCATAGAGACCCATAGACACTCCACAGAGACCCCATAGAGACCTAGAGAGACCCCGTGGAGAGACGCATAGAAACTCATAGAGACCCATAGAGAGACCAATAGAAACCCATAGAAACCCACAGAAACCCCACAGAGACCCATAGAGGCCCATAGAGACCCATAGGGACCCACAGAGACCCCATAGAGACCCCATAGAGACCCAGAGGGACCCCACAGAGACCCATAGAGACCCATAGAGACCCATCGAGACCCCACAGAGACCAATAGAGGCCCATAGAGACCCATAGGGACCCACAGAGACCCATAGAGACCCCATAGGGACCCCATAGGGACCCAGAGGGACCCCACAGAGACCCATAGAGACCCACAGAGACCCACAGAGACCCATAGGGACCCATAGGGACTCATAGAGACCCACAGAGAGCACAAAGAGACCCACAGAGACCCATAGAGACCTATAGAGACTCACAGAGAGCCCCATAGAAACCCACAGAAAAACATAGAGACCCACAGAGACCCATAGAGAGACCCCATGGAGATTCATTGACCCACAGAGACCCACAGAGACCCCATAAAGAACTATACAGGCCCATAGAGACCCCATAGAAAACTATGCAGACCCATAGAGACCCATAGAGACCTATGGAGCCCCACGGAGCCCCACGCAGCCCCCCACCCCCCCAGGCCCCCATTCCCGCTCACCGGCCGGCCGTGGGCTCGCTGCTATCCCAGCACCAGCCACAGGTGGCGCTGCTGAGGCAGCTCTCGCAGCTCAACATGGCAGCACAGCGCGGGCACTGCGCGCCGGGGGGGGCGCTGCAAAGAACAGGGAGACCCATAGCGACCCATAGTGACCCATAGTGACCCATAGAGACCCATAGAGACCCCATAGAGACCCCATAGGGACCCCATAGCAAACCATAGTGACCCATAGAGACCTCATAGCGACCCCATAGGGACCCCATAGGGACCCCATAGGGACCCCATAGGGACCCATAGAGACCCATAGAGACCCCATAGAGACCCCATAGGGACCCCATAGCGACCCATAGAGACCCCATAGCGACCCTATAGGGACCCCATAGCGACCCACAGCGACCCCATAGCGACCCTATAGGGACCCCATAGCGACCCATAGCGACCCCATAGCGACCCCATAGAGACCCATAGCAACCCATAGCGACCCCATTGAACCCATAGAAACCCCAAAGAGTCCCCATACAGACCCCATGGACCCCATAGTGACCCCAGGGACCCCATAGAGACCCCATAGCGACCCCATAGAGACCTCAGAGAGACCCCATTGAACCCATAGAAACCCCATAGGGACCCCATAGAAACCCCACTGATCCCATAGAGACCCCATGGGCCCCACAGAGGCCCCATGGAGCCCATTACCCCCATTAGCCCCATGAACCCCCCATGCCCCGTTGCCCCACATCCTCCCCCACATCCCCCATTGCCCCCTCACGTCCCCCATCACGCCCCCCACCCCACATCCCGCCCCATAGCCCCCATCACCCTCATTACCCCCCCTTCCCCCCATCGCCCCACATCCCCCATCACCCCATAGCCCCCATATCCCCCTCGCACCCCACATCCCCCCCCAT